GTTTGTTCATTTGTTTTTATTATGACTGTATGGTATATTTTGACCTTTGGAGTAGTAATCCCTCCAACACTGTCCTCTTAATTCATAATTGTTCTGGATATCTGGGAAATATTTGTGGTTCCATATGAATATAAAGCTAGTTTTTCCTATTCCTGTGAAGAATGTGATGACAATTTGGGTTGGGATTCCATGGAATCTGTAAATGGCTTTTCATAGAATGGTCATCTTCACAATATTAATTCTACCAATCCATGGGCATGGGATGTCTTTCCATTTTCTAGTGTCTATTTCTTTCTTCAGAATTTTAAAATTTTCATTACAGAGGTCATTCACATCCTTGGTTTAGCTTATTCCTAGATGTTTTATTTTCTGTGAGGCTGTTGTAAATGGGATCTCTTTCTCTATATGTTTGGTGTTGGAGTAAAGAAAATCTAAAGATTTATGCAAGTTGATTCTGTATCCTGTCAAATTGGTGAAATTGGTTTTCATTTCTAGAAGTTTTCTGATAGACTTGTGGGGACTTTTATGTAAAATACCATGTCTGCAAATAAGGATTGTTTGATTTATTTTCCTGTTTCTGTCCTTTTAATTTCCTTCTCATGCCTTATTGCTGGTTCTTTGTGCACAGTACTGAAAGGGCAAGGGAATAATGGACATCTCTATCTCATTTCTTGACTTCAGTGGAATTGCTTCAAGCTTTTCTCCATTTAGGATGATACTGACTGTAGGTTTATCATATACAGCTTTAATTGTGTTGTGATGATCATGGGATTTTTCTCTTCAAGTCCATTTGTATAGCTTATTATAATTATTGACTTGCACATATTGAACCAACTCCGTATCTCCAGGATAAAGCCAACTTGGTCAAAGTGTATGATCTTTTTGATATATGTCTGTATTCATTTGCAAGTAATTTATTGAGTATTTTAAGATCTGTGTTCATCACTGATATTTACTGCAGTTTTCTTTTTTCATTGTGTCTTTACTGGGTTTGGGTTTTAGAGTGATACTGGCTTCATAGAATCAGTTTTGGAGTGCTTCTGATATTCCTCCTCCTCTTCCTTCTCCTTCTTCTATTTAAAATGGACTTGTTATAGATCTTTGAATGTCTAGTTGAATTCCCCTGTAAATCCATCTGGCTCTGGACTTTTTGTAGCTGGAAGGCTTTTTATTTCTATTTCAATCTTCTATGTTGTGGATCTGTTTAGGTTGTTTATTGCTTCTTGGTTTAATTTTGGTGGTTTGGCTAAATCTAGAAATTCATCTATTTCTTTTAGATTTTCCTGCTTATTGGAATTTAGGTTTTAAAAATATTCCCTTATACTATTCTGAATTTCTTTGGTGTATGTTGTAATGTTTCCATGTTCCATTCTCATTTTATTGATTTGGGTCATTGCTTTTGGTCTTTTTTTATTCCCATTTGGTAAGTTGGATCAAGGGTCTGTCAATATCGTTTATTTTCTCAAAGAACCAGCCCTTAATTTTGTTGATTCTTTGTATTTTTTCTAGTTCATTAATTTATGCTGTGATTTTAATCATTTTTTTAAATAGACCAAATTTGGATTTGGTTTATTCTTGTTTTTCCAAAAATTTGTTGGTTCTTTATGTCATTTGTGCTTTTTCTGATATTTTGGTGTAGACATTTAGCTATAAATTTCCCTTGTAGGATTGCATTTAATGCACACCAGATGTTTTGTTGTGTTGTGTTTTCATTTTCATTTAGTTCCAAGAAATTTTATTTCTTCTTTGACCCATTCATCATTCAGTAATATGTTGCTTAAACTGAGTGAGTTTGTATTTACTGGAGATTTGTTTGCTCTTGGTTTTAATTTTTATTGCATTATTATCAGATAGGTTACATGATGTTCAAAACTTTCTGAACTCATGAAGATTTGGGGTTTTTTTGTTTTACTTGGGGGGTGTTTTGTTTTGTTTGTTTGTTTTGTCCCAAGATGTGGTATGTCTTAGAGATGCTTCCATGTGCTGCTGAGTAGAATGTATATATACTTTGGTGTATGTGTGGAATATTCTGTAGATTTCTGTTAGTCCATTTGATATATGATATCATTTAATTCTGATGTTTCTATGTTTATTTTTTTTGTCCAGATGTCCTGTCTCTTGGATAAAGTGGTGTATTGAAATTTCAATTCTGAACATCTGTGCCCCAAATACAAAGGCATCCACGTTCATAAAATAAATCACCTAGTATTAATGGGTTATTAATGTTAATGTGTCTTTATTTCCAGTAATACGTATTTTTTATGAAGTGGGGTACACCAAAGTTTGGTACATATATATTTAGCATAGTAATGTCTTCTTGGTTAACTATTTACTTGTTTAGAATGAAGTTTTCCTCTTTACCCCTTCTGATTAGTTTTACTTTGGAGTCTGTTTTATCAGACATTAAGATAGCAATGCCTGTTTGCTTCCTGGTCTTTTTTGATTAGAATCCTTTTGTCCATTCTCTTATACTAGCTTTAAAGTTAATGTGTTTCTTATTAAAAAAAAACCCAGATAGATAGTTTTGTTTCTTTATCCATTAAGTCAGCCTGTGTGTTTTGATTGGTGAGTTGGAGTCATTGATATTTAAAGTTATTGTTAAAAACAGGTATGTTAATTGTGGTCATTGTGTTGTTAATTTTTGGTGGTTTTGTGTGTGTTTACACATGCACAAGATTTTCAGTGGCATTTTGTGTTTTAGTAATTATGGTTCACATTTCTTTTAAGTGTCTCTTGGCTGTGCTCATTCCTCTCTTCAGCCCAAAATATCATTGCCTTTTAAAGGCTATTTAGTTCATGAAAAGTTTTTCTTTCTTTTTCAATGATGGCAGATAGCTTTTCAGGATAAGTCTAGGTTTTCCACCATGTTCTTTTTGTACTTGAAATGTATTGTTCCAGGCTCTTCTTGCTTTCAAAGTTTCCCTCAAAACCTTAGCTATTATTCTGGTGTGTTTGCCTTTTTATGTGGCTAATGTTTTTTTTCTCTTGAACTGTATTTTTTCTTTGTTCTGTATACTTAGTGCTTTAACTATTACATACCATGGATATTTTATTTTCTGCGTTTCTTATTATTATTTGTATGGGTATGATTTTCTTTAGTATGGAGAAGTTTTCTTCTATGGTCTTTTGACATTCTTCTCTATGACAATGACCTGGTATTCTTCTACCTCATTTATTCCTATAATTCATTGAGAGGTATCTTTAGGATAGCAGCAGGCATAAAAAGTCCTGGCTGAACACATATAGTAGACATTGGTGGTCTGATTAGGCGAGGGCCCTGTATGTGGAACCATGCTAAGTTGGGGGTTTGTGGAGGGTGTTTGGAGGGGATATCAGGCAGACTAACCTGTCTAGGCCCTGTAGAAGCTAATTATTACATTTTTAAGTATCTACAAAAAGTTATTTTGTAGAATGTCGTTTCCACAGCTTGTTTTAGGATTTTTAATGCAGCAGCAGCCAATTGGCCATTCTTCTTTCTGTGCAGTGTGTGAACACACACATCATTGTATGTGTGTGTGTGTGGGGCCAGAGGTCAATTCAGGTGTCTTCATCTATCACTTTCAGCATTATTTATTGAGATAGTATCTCCCACTGAGGTCTGTTCTTTTTTGTAATTTTTAAGATTTATTTTATTTTTGAGGTTATAACACAATTGCAACATTTCTCCCTTCATTTTCCTCCCTCTAATCCCTCCCATATACCCCTCCCCACTTTCCTTCAAATTCATTGCCTCACTTTTCACTAATTGTTACTGCATGCATATATGTGTATGTATATACAATATTCCTAAATAAAACCTATCTGTTACATATAATGTTACTGATATGTGTCATATATATATTATTCATTATGATATATCAGGCTCTCCAATACTTCCTATCTTACTAAGAGTCAAATCTAAACTCACTAAGGCCCTAAATATCTAGAATACCCTATGTAAATGACCTGCTATCTTCTTTTTTCCCGTGTAATTTACTCTAGCCATCCTGTCTCCTGGCTATCTCTAGACCACAACAATTTCATTCTGTCCTTGGGATCCATAGTCTTACATTTCTTTTCTGCACAGAAAGTCTTTCTTTAGACATGTATGTGATTCCATTTCTCCTTCTTTAACTATCTTTTAAAATTTGTCTTAGAACTTTGTACATCAACACTACATCTACTTAGATCCTTGCCTCTCTCTACTCTGGTTTCCACTGCTCCCATGTTTCCCCTCTCCCTCTAAAATTCCTAATCTTTTAATTAGTATTGTTATATGTACATATATATGCACTTCAACATGTATATGTATATTTTGTGTATATATATGTATATGCATACTTGTACATACAAGCTACTGAGAGTCCAGTGAGTGGAGCTCACATGTACATAAGTTCCCCTTTTGGAATTGGATAACCCATGCAGGAGCTCCTCCTTAGAGGAAAAGTAGCCATTGACCACCTTTATCTAAGGTAGGTCCATGTGGAATTGGCATGCCAGCTAGTGTTGTCATTATGCTGGTCTTTTACAGGCAACCATGTTGACATTTCATGAGTACATTTCCCTTGTCACATCTAGGGGACATTATATAGCAACAGGTATTCTGGGCCTCTGGCTCTTAGGGATAATAATTTCCTCATTATACTCTTTAGACTTTCATAGCTCCTGTCAGTGGTAGAATGTGTTAGTTTGTCACTGCAAGGAGAATCTCTGGCTCATATCTTTTAATGGTTACTAGAATTCTATTTGTCATATTCTGTTTACTATTGGTAAGGTCAGTCTCCTTTAACTAATCAGAATTGTTTCACTTTTCCCACTTGCTCATTATTGCTACATGAACTTTATAAATGATTTGTGTATCTACCAATTGTGTAGCTATCTTTTAATTTTATTACTAAATTATGAATCAAATAAAAATTGACATTGCCTTAATATTCCTACATAGGAACAAGATCTGTCTTTCTATTTCAAGACATCGTTGGGGCCTCTGAGCCTTCATTTTTCCCTTCTTTTCTCCACAGCAAGATGGGTTCTGGATATATTCGGAATATTGTAACAACCACCTGGACGCCTGCATGGAACTCTCCAAGCTGATGAAGGACAGCCGCTACCAACACTTTTTTGAGGCCTGCCGACTCTTGCAGCAGATGATTGACATTGCTATCGATGGTTTTCTTTTGACTCCAGTACAGAAGATCTGCAAATATCCCTTACAGTTAGCTGAGCTCCTTAAGTATACTGCCCAAGACCACAGGTAAGGGGTTTGAGGACACAGAAGTAAATGTCTTTTAAATATTGGTACCTTTTGACAATATATAACTTTTCTGTAAAGTAGGATATATTCCTCCTTACTTTACAAGGCCCTTGTGAATAAAGTAAGGGTTATACTACAGAGAGTATAACTTATAAAGTTATAAGTCAGTATACATACGAAATGTTATGCATAATCATTATTACATAACTTATACTCCACCTTCATGGACTGCAGCTTATAGCTTGGCTTTTAATACTAGGCTCAAACTCATGAATCAAACCCAACATAGTAACTGCTCAATCGTTTATTCAATTCTGTTTGAAAGACTCAGATGGCCTGCAAATATCTTTCCAACTAGTACTAATTGTACATTCTTTCTGCAAGGTTAATTCCCTTGTTTGTATACTTAGCTTTTTGACCTCACCCACTGTACATTTGATATAGACTTAGAATATAGTGCAGAGGGTGGGGGAAGGAACAGATTGAGACTTTACTTGAAGTTTTTTCTTTAGTTTTTAAATATTTTATTTTCTTCCATCCTGCCTTCCTTCCTTGCCTCCCTCCCTCCCTCCCTTCCTCCCTCCCTCCCTTCCTTCCTCCCTCCCTCCTCCTCCTTCCCCTCTTCTGTTAAGTCTGTACCCAACTATGTATTTCTGCCTGGACTGCAACTCATTATGTAGACAGAACCAAGCTGGCCTCTACCTAAAAGAGATCTGCCTCCTGAGTACTAAAATTAAAGGCATGTGCTATCACATTCCACAGTTCTTAATTTTTATTCAAGGGAACTTACCCAACAAAGACTATGAAGGATATCTATGTGAGTGAAAAAGTGAAAATGATGCATTTCATCTCTTACCAGTATGGAATGTGCTAAAAGGAAGCCCATTGATGGTGATGGCTTACAGTAAACAAGCCCCACTCTTTCACATATTGCCTCGAAATGTAGAGACTCAGAATATTCCTAGCTTATCTCTATTTGGTATGAAATTCCTGACTTTGGACTTGTTGCTTCAGCTCAGCACTTATTCTTCTGATAAGCTTTCCAAGAAGAATGAAGTCTCCCACTCAAGTTCCCTACCTTTCATTTTAAAATAAAATATAGTTACATCATTTTACTATTCCATGTCCTCCTCCTTACTCCTCCCAAGTTTTTTGCCTTTGCTCCCTCATGCCCTTTCTTCTTTAACAATGGTTGTTATATATGCATATAAATGTGTACAACCTAATGAATCCATTCAAGGTTTCCTGAATGTATGTTTCTAGGACTGATCACTTGGTACTGAATAACCAATCTGGAGGCATTTCCCTTCATCATCTGTTTCCAATGATGAAGGCTCTATGGTCACATATTATTTTGCAAATTTCTACATCAGCTGCAAATATTTCCCTACCAGACTCCTACAACTTAACTGAAGGAGTAATACTTGGTCTCATGACAGTGGTTCAGAGACTGACAGCAGTAGAGATATGTCCAAGAAAGAAGATAAAGACAGAAGAGAAAGGCAGAGAAGACCTTTTTCGGTATTAAGTTGTCTCAAGCAACTTGTAGACAAGTCTTAGAGACTTAGTCTGATCTGAATGTCTGAAATGAGAAAACCATGGTGATTTCTGAAGTAGAAGACTGGATGAAAAGTGATTAACAGTAAATAAAATGTCATTTGCTTATGAAAACTTGGCATAATTGCTCCTTACTTAATAAGAAAAAAAGAAAATAGAATAGGATAGTCAGTTGATGTGTCTAAAACTAGAAAATCTTGGTTCCATCACTCCCAATAATGGGAGGCAGCCAAACCTCATCTGAGACCCCAGAGACACTGACCAGAATTCAGAATACATCACAGCTATTTTCTTATTTTATTCACCTTTAAAGTTACTGGTACAGATTAGATATGATAGCATTCATCCTTTAACCACTGTAAGAAAGATAACCAGCAAAAATGGCAAAACTGACAATTATATAACAACAGCATGATTCCCTAATACTTGTGGTTAGGAAGAGAATTTTCATATCCTCAGTGTTCAATTGAATTTTATGTGTATGGCCTTGGAATAATTATGATTATTACTAATACAACTGAGGAACTAATTTTTTAGCTTACTTAAGTTTAATTAAATGTGAATGTGGTACCATACTGAGAGAATAATTCCATGATTACTTCCCAGAAAGATTAAAATACTGATGTCCTCAAATCAACCAAAGAAAAGACACAGGGGGTAGGGAACTGGGCCTGAAGAACTTAAGTACTTATTTGTGTCATTGTCCTATCCTATGTCTCACTGGCAGGCTCAGACAGTCTTGTCAGGTAGAAACATTGGCAAGGTTAGAGAGCTAACAGATCAAATAGACAGAAAAAGCAATAGGAAAGGATGAAATACAGTAGGAACAAATATGAAGTTTTACAGGTGAAATCAGCACGTCAAAGACTGGTTGAGAGATACCGCTCCTAGAAAGCTTGTTTTGAAGACACTTAGAAAGCATAATTAGTTGATAATACACTCCATATGACTCATCATAGTAATAGAAACATTCATTAAGGCTCAAAATAGGAATACTTCTAGCTTTCTTGAGAAAGAATAAACTGGTTAAGAGAAAAATCTGTTACTACAGTGGATCAAATATAATAGTGTTTGAGGTCCACAGTTCTGGAACATGTACAAGGTACAGATTGGAGTCATGGATGTTACCTAAGAGGAGATGTTGTATAGCATCTGTCCTGGCAATTAGAACTCCCCTCCTTAGGCCTATTCTTGTTCCATCACCCCATTTTCAATACATTAAGAAGAAAAATAACATTTTTTTCGCACCTTTCTCTCATGACTTTTTCTTTAATCAGTGCTGGGAGAGAAAGAAGGCTACAACCACAAGATTTCTTTTAGCTTTACTAAAAGAAGGTATTAACACTAGGCTGTAATGAATCTTATTGCCTCCTTGGGTCATTCTGTCTATATCAAATGGCTGGAATCTCACTTTTAACCGGCCTTTCATAAGAACTGTTCAGTTGAAAATTAGGTCAGAAAAGCAGACAAAATTGGGTAGAATTATATGACTCTCAAGACATGGTTTATGAAATGTTTCCAAAAGCTGGGGTGTAAGTTGTATTTCTCAAACCAAGAATTCTGTGGGAGGCATCCTATATTGTATCTACCATTAGAGAAATACTTTATTTGAAATAAAGATACAAATAGTATTCATGGCTCAAGAGTAAAGCAGTATGTATCGATGATTGCATTTATTTTTTAAACCCCTCAGTAAATTCTGCCAAAATTCTTCCCATTTATGCATGAGAAAATTGAATCAAGTGCTAATGACACTTGCTAAATGAAACACTGCTAGTTAGCAATAAAACTGGATATAAACTCATGGAGTCTGGTTTCAAATTCTGTATCCTCATACATTATACTACACCTATCTCCTTATTGTGCCAGAGGAAAACTTGCAACATTATTCCATTGTGACCACAGGCAGAGAGACTCCTTAGAAATATATAGAGAAGAGATGCCTTTTTCTTAATCCTTGTCTGTTTTTTCAGATAGGACACAAATAGAGAGGTGTAAAACTAAAGAGGTCTATCTCCCTTGTGAAAGAAGTTTACAGTTAGGATATTTATGGGGCTGGTACAATTTCTCTATGAACATAAGTCACACAGTCATTTCTTCCAAAAATAGGACTGGAAATGTCGTTGTTCTCTAGGTGATACAGATTACCATCTGGTAATCAAGAGTCTTACTAAGGAGAAAAATAGAATGGATTTAAGATTGGCATAGTGCACATTGGTTCATCCACCTTTCACTCTTATATCTTCACAGTGATTACAGATATGTTGCAGCTGCTTTGGCTGTCATGAGAAATGTGACTCAGCAGATCAATGAACGCAAGCGACGTCTGGAGAATATTGACAAGATTGCACAATGGCAGGCCTCTGTCCTAGACTGGGAGGTAGGACTTTCATCAGCAGAGGTGTTGAGCGATCCCAGTTGCTTGTTGAAAAGCTGGTCATCTTAGCCAACAATTAAAAAGGAATTAGAAGGAAGGATTCCTATTGAACCCAAGGCAAAGGTTCCTGACAAGGAAGGGCTATTTAGAGTAATCTCCGAAGTTTGATGAAATCATTGGGGCTTTATTTTATTTATTTACCATATTACTTTTATTTATTCATTTTAATTTATTGTGACATATTCGTCTCTGGGTGTTTTTCGGAAACAACTGGATTGACTTAGTACCATTCCAATGCTCTTTTGTCCTGGATTTAAGATCATGAACTTCACGGATAGATAAGAAGTAGTACATACTAATCTACTCCAAGACACACATTATAACTCGGTACTCTTGTTTATAACCATGCAGGATAGCAAATATATTATTTTGCTATTAGTGAGATAACCTCATCCTGGTATATCTACTAGACTAATGAAGCATGCACATTCTAGGCCATAACTACCATCCTGCCAAATCCACTGACCGAGCTCTGTGTTCATCATCATTCTAAAAATAATCTGTCACCTAGTCATCCCAGTGTGGACACCCACAGTTTCCTTGAACTTGGAAAGGAAGTGACTGAAGTCATCAACCTTTCCTTCCCAAATGCCACACACTAAGAGTAATAACATTTCTTACTCATCTTGGAGGCCCAAGTTGTGTGACCTGATAGTAGGTAGGCTGACATAGCCAAGATGGAAAATGTCAGCAGGCAGGAAGTGACATTCCTAAAACAATGTGGTAATAGTATAGAAGTAGATCCAATACCTTGTTGTACTGCCCTCACCCCAGATATAATTTTCTGTGTTTAAGAAACAGTTTTTTCTTAACATTTCAAATTGTTTAGTCTATCCGAAGGGGACCGTTATTAGTCTTAACAGAGAGTTAGCAAATGTTCAGGCATTTTTCTGCTACTTCTATTCTTCCTAATGTGGATTATTTAAAAGCATCACAATTATTATCAGTTGACCCATTTTTATCCTGTTTGATAGATAAGGTACTCTAAGTGTAGAATAGCAGTGACACAGTTGAAATATTAAAAATTAATATATATGTATATATAGAGACAGAATATACAGAGAAAATATGCATTCATTTATATACATATATGTGCACATATGCATATGTACACACATACATACATATGTATACCTATACACATACATATGTATACATACCCTCTTGCATATAAGGAGAAGCCATCACTGACCCAAAATTATTAGAAAGTAATGGATTCTCCCTTCTTTGTGTGTTGTTTTCCTCTGTTCATTTATTGTAGCAAAGATGAGCTAGACCAAATTAACTTTTCTGACCCTTTTGCAGGCTTCCGTGTAAGGAAAGGCATCAAAAAGCCACTAAATTCCTTTTCTCTGAACGGTTTTTCTTCTGCCCTGAAACATTTCCCCCCTTCTAACGTTTTATGTGTTGTCTGAGTCTGCAGTCATTGGAGAGGAGAATAAAAGTTTGAAGTCCGTTGGCCTACCCAAAGAGCTTTATTTTTACCAAGCTTCATTGACTTCAGCTATGGTTTAGGGAATCCGCATGTGAGAAAGCATTTCCAGTTATATTTCTGGAATGAGGGAGGTGCTCCTTGAGTGGACACAAGGTGAATTCCGCCAGTGTTTCTGGAGAGGGTATTGGAGAACAACTGGAGGATGGAGGAGGCAGTAGATCCCAGACAGTGGCTGCCTTAGGCAAGCCTTACAAATAAGCAAGCAAGCAATGCTTCCCAGTCCGAGCCACTCCCCTACCTCTCTCACATGTATAAACAAACAAAGAGGACTGTCAAAAGAGGTCCTTGTGGTGATTTCAGCTTTAGTCATCAAATGAAAAACAGTAATCACAGGGGAAACCTTCAAAACCTAATCTGCCTCGAAGAGGGAAAGGTAGGAATGTTGACATGCAGGCAATTGTTGTTGCTTGGTAAATCAGGTTATCTAACTAAAGAGGAGAAAACCCTGCCTTAAGTCAGTGTCTGTCTCTCTCCCCTCATCTTTTTCTCATGAATATTCAGATTTCTTTACCTAATTCCAGTTACCATATCAGTCAGTTGCTATATCCTATGGAGAGTACTCTACCCCTCATAATTCCTGAAAAATAAAGAGATGAGTGAAATTGTCATATATTTCTTGAAGTGATTATAACTTAGAGCAGTTGAGAGTAGCAGAAGGGAGGAGAGCCTGTTTCCAAGGACTGTAGTTTCTGGTAATTTTCCATTCCTCAGTCCTCTGGCTCAGAGGTTTGGATGAGCTGTCATTTTGCCTCCTTTCACATTAAATCATTTTAAACAAAGAGAAATGGAACATATCCCTGATAGCCTCTCTTCAGCCTTTTTTTTCCTGAACATTTTCAGAGAGTGCTCGTGTTTGTAGCTCATGTTTGGGAGCTGGATCGTGTGGTCCTAATTTTTTTTCTTTATGGTCTCCCTGCCTTTCTTGCCAATGTCCTTTTCTGGTTTACCATTGGATTGTATAATCCAAAGAAGCTGAAAGAAACATCAGAAACAACAAAATACTATAATAGATATAGAAAAGATATCCATTTAAAAGTGAATGTAAATAAATGAGTGACACTCCTTTGTCTAGAAGATTAAATATAGGTCCAGGCTGATCTGTTACTTCTCTACACTTTTTGACACATAGGTTAAGACAGGTACCATTGAAGATTAAACTACTTGAAAAAGATGACATTTCTTTTGACCCTATTTCAGGACTGTTCAAACTCTTTGGCATTAAAATCTGGCATTTTTCATCAACAAACATATTGGGTATCATTTGTACCCTGCTCTTTCTTTGGGGCCACCAACCAGCTCCCAGATCATGACACAGAGACTTATTATTAGCTTTGAATGCTCCGCATAGCTTAAGGCATGTTTCTGGCTAGCTCTTTTAACTTAAATTAGCCTGTTTCTCTTTATCTGCCTTTTGCCTTGGGCTTATTACCTTTCTTAATTCTGTATATCTGACTTTCACTGCTTCTCTATGGCTGACCGGCATCTGCCTGGTTTCTTGCCCCAGGTGTCTCGTTCTCTCCTCCTCCTCTCATTCTTTCTTCTCTTTTCTCTCTGCCCGCCAGCCCCACCTGTCTTCTCTCTGCCTAAAAATTGACTGTTCAGCTTTTCATTAGACCGAGAAGGTGCCTTAGGCAGGCAAAGTGAAACAGATGCAACGTATCTTTCCATAATTAAACATACATCCTTATATAGTTAACAAAAGTAACACGCCTTTACACAGTTAAAGTAATATTTTGCAGCATAAACAAATGTTACACATTTTGCCCAGTTAAAACAATATTCCACAACACTCATTCACAGGTCCCCCTGGGGTTCATGCAGCTTATGGACCACAGGTTAGATATGTCTACTAGGTCATTCAGGCCACAGCTCAATTATCAATTATCCTGTAATTGGGATGAAATAAAGCTGAACAAAATGGGTTAAGTTAGAATTAATTTAAAAAAGGAAGCCTACTCCTTGAGACTGTCTGCAAAAAAATTATGAAAAGCTGACAAGAAAGCTCTAGGTAGAGTTTAATTGTCACTACTCGTTTATTAACCATTGATTTATTCTTTGCATATCATTTATGGAATACTTGCTTTCTATCAGGCTTGATTCCATGTTCTAGAAATGTGTTAAGTGATGGAGCAAAGTTTCTATAGTTTATGTTTCAATAGAGAAGAAAAGCAATACATAAGCACATTGCCATCAGATGTTGATAGGGATTATGAAGAAAAATATGATATTTAACAGGCTAGAGTAATGAAGAAATTACCAAAGGGGACAACATTTGAGAAAAGACTTAAAGAAGTTAAAGGAGAAAGTCATATGACTTTTTCTGTGGTGGAGCATTTCAGGTAGAAGCAAGAGCCAAAACAAAGCCCATGAAATATGAGACTATATATTCTTCAAAAAGGAAACCAGACAGCATGGCTAGGGAAAATAGCAAAAGATTGTATATGAGCAATCGGAGGTCAAGTTATATGTCTCTTGTCCAAGGACTGTTTCCAGTTTGGATGGAAGGCAGTGGAGGATTTGCTATGTGACTTTTAGGATTCTTGCCTTTTGAGACGCACCCTCTTTGCCTTGTCCTTGCCAACTGTTATAGAATCTGAGATGAATCAGACATGGCCTTGTTCATCTAGAATAGGCAGATAGACTACTAGGAAAGTAGGCAGTTTGTGTTAAATGCTGCAAGAATGCAGAAACCCATAGAGGCAGTGGGAATGTATTGTGCTTTGTGGGCCAAGATAAAGAGATGTGTGGTACAAGTGAGGCACAGCAGACAAGAATGAAAGCTCTAAACAGAGAGAACATCCTTTCCCTCATGTAAACTTACCCTTCCCCTCACACAGATGTGATGCTTTCATGCAGCATGTACAGTAGATCAGGGACACAGAGTAAGTTAGTAACTGCACTGTACACAGAACACAGTTATTCTAACTGTCTCATCTCACTACATTGTAGCTGATTTTCTGCTAGGCAAGGTACTGTCATTCAAGTGCAGTCTTGTAATAAGGCACATGGGCTTTGGAGAGATTCTGAACTTGGTTCTATATCTTTGGAGAAATTATGTCTAATTCTTTGATTTATGACTTTGAGCACAATCACAGCTCATCCTTTATCAGTTCATTGTATTAGAAGAAAACAGGAAATATGTATTAGTGCCTGGGGCACACAATAATACCCAAGATGAAAATTACATATGGAAAGTTTACAATGTGATGTGTATATTCCTAAGTACTTGTACATGTTAATTTAAGTATTCTCCACGGTATCTAAACAAATTTGTGATGGTATATTCTCAAAAAGAATGGAGAAACAGCTGGGCAGTGGTGACACATGCCTTTAATTTCAGCTCTCAGAAGGCAGATCTCTGAGTATGAGGTCATTCAGATCTGCAAAGTGCATTCCAACACAGCCAGGGCTACACAGAGAAATCCTGTCTCTAAAAACAAAACAAAAAATTGAAGAAACTGAGACACAATGAGGATATGTTAGCTGTTCAAGGTTAGTTGATTTAGTGAGCATAGAAGTATGTTTTTTCTCAACATTTTAAAACTTGGTGTTACATGCAGCAACTATTTAAAATAGGGTTGGTATGCCCCTGCCTAAGAAAATGTTGAATATTCCCCCAGGTCTTAAAATCCTCAGTTCATCAAATGATAACTTAAAGTCATCCTGGAATCTGGGCATGGTGACTTATACCTATAAACCCAGTACTTGGGAAGCTTCAGGAGGAGGATTACAAGTTCAAGATCAGCCTGAACTATATAGCAAGTTCCAGGTTTGCCTGGACTCCATAGTAAGACGTTGCCTCCAAAAGAGTCATGTTTGTCATCAACTTGTATTATTAGGCAACTTTTATGCACTCTTTCTCTTTATACATACTCAAAGTGGATTGTGGCATATCTTCCTCCCTTGTATCAGGAAAGGCCAACTCAGAGGAGAGGTATGACCCTGCCTTGTGCATCCAAAGAATCAGGGCTAGTATGTCAACTCAAGAAGGACTATTTGTTTACCTCTGTCTTGGATACTCTTGTAGCTAAATTTGGACTGTAAAGTAAAAACGGTATTTTTTTGAGCTGCTTTCAATTTGTTATTAGAAAATAATCCACTGAGATCTCCTTTTCTTTCCAATCCCTCAGACTAGAGGAAATGGTACAATTAAGAATACTGTTTTATGATGTCACTCTTTTTAGCTTATTATTCTGCCAGAGCTATAGGGACTTCTATCTTTAATTCAGCCTTGAACCTTGGGCATACATTTAGTCGTAAAAGTACCAGAGCTGATATTATAGATATTATTCTCATATACCTCATTTAACAGCTTATGGTGAAACATACTGAAGGAGAAAAAGGGACTGGACATCTAGGCACTTTTGGTGATAGAAGCACTATGATTTATGATAAAGAGTAAAGGTGCTCTCTGGAGATAGAGAGATTAGGATCCGAGTATCTGTAGCTAACAAGCTTCATGATCTTCTCCTGTCACTTGACAAAGATGTAAAATGGAACCAAGATTGTTTACCTGACTGAACTTTTGTGAGGTCCAGATGAGATAGAGTAAAAAGTAACTAGCACAATATCTGACCCATATACATCCCCTGGAATTATGAGTTCTCTTTCCTGGGCCACCGCTCATTTCCTTCATCTTCATATAGGCTGAAGCATGTGTAGTAAACTTTCTCATTTTATCATAAAATATTTTACCCCTTATTTCATTTTTATATGGAAAACACAAAAATTTCTACTACTTTTTTAGGCTTACTCTTGAGGTAAGTGAGAGACCAGGTAGAAATTGAAAGACTGGATCAGAAAAGAGATTCATAAATGGTAAGAAGGAGGAGGAAAGAGAATAGAATGCCTGCCTGTTTGGCCGACTTGGGTCTCATTTAGGTTCAGAGTACATGAGAATACAGGAGGCATGTAGGGAGATACAGAGAAGAAGGGAAACTGACTGACTAAGGGATGAGTCTTATTTTACACCACAGTAAACAAGAATATGAATTTTCTCACTTACAGAATTGTAAACCTTTTAAGGGAGCCCAGAAGTCTCTCTCTTTTCCTCCATCTATGCTCACCTTTGGGTATCTCTGGGTAAGGAATTGTACCAGCTTTACTACCTGGCTCTCTTACCATCACATGTCCTTCCTAGGGAGAGGACATCTTAGACAGGAGCTCGGAGCTGATCTACACCGGAGAGATGGCCTGGATCTATCAACCCTATGGCCGCAACCAGCAGAGAGTCTTCTTCTTATTCGACCACCAAATGGTCCTCTGCAAGAAGGTAAACTTAACCTCTTCTTTTCTGAGAGAGATGAGGGCCCCGGGGAGTGCTATAAGCTCCTTCCCTTTCATTGTGCCCAGGTTTTTAAAGAAATAGGCAAAAACTGGCAGAGGAAATCGGCAGCAGTTCCATACCAAAAGTACTGGTATAGAATTAAGACCATAAGCAACAGTAAAATGCTGAGGTTAACACATGTTATCCTGAAAGCATTTATGTTTTTCCTCATAACCCTTGTGGTATTCCTTCTGAGCACCCATGGCAGATAGCCAGCAAATTTGGACTAGTATTGAAGAATATTGTGGTGTTTGTATCCTACTTATCAAGTAGCTTCCAAGAGTACCTTGCCCCATTCCCACTTGAATGGGGCCACTTCCTTAAGTAGGTCCTCTATGCTTCACAATACCTCCATCCATTTCTATACAAAGTGCACCATCAGTTGCCCAGAAACTCTCAATCAAGCTGTTGCTGATTATCCTAGCCCTGTACTTGTCACTGATCCTTGGATACTTCCGTAAGTATTGATTTCTTAGCAAAGAGGGGTAGCATATGTTCCCCCACATAATCTCTTCTGAGAATTCCTGATAGGATACTGTTCCTCCTTTCATGATAGGAGGCTCAAACCACTTTTGTAAGGTTTGGCTGGGAAGAATTTGGAATCATGGGAAGTGAGAAAATGAGGGAGAAATAGTATTCAGAGTGACTTTCAAAATTTGTTTTCATTCTTGGAGTTTTCTCTGTTACATTGCTCTTTTTTTTAAACATTACCCAGTAGCGAATCCCCTAAAGAGGGGTGTGAAGTCATGACATACCAAGTTAAATACTAAGCAGACATCTGGTTCATGTCCCTTTTCCTATCTCCGTGTGTGTGTGTGTGTGTGTGTGTGTGTGTGTGTGTTTGTGTGTGTGTGTGATGTCCGTGGCATGTCCTACATTAAATCGTTATGTGTTTGCCCTTCAAAATCAATTGAGAGAATACATTGAGCTTAAATTCAAACAGTCTTGCTGTTTATAGATAAGGTCCAAATGCCAGATCTGGAACAAATAGCCTACTAGTTAATTAGGGTAGTTATTTCAGTCTAGATCTCACACTGGAAGAGAAACATCCATGAACCTGAAACTCAGCAACACACCAGTGTCTCTTTTTGGCTCCCCCAGCTCTTACCAGAACTTTCATACACTCAGGGGTCAGAATTTCTGAAGGTGAGTAAAGGCAACAAGGATGTTCTCGATCAGCCATGTCCCCAGCAGACATGCGTACATTCTTCCCGCTAATGTATGTTCATGCTTACACTGAGAGGGAGAGAGAGACAAAGGGAAAAGCAGAGACAGGGAGTGTGAAAGATGGAGGGAGGAGAGAGATGGGGGAAAGAGAGCAAAGAATTAGGAGGAGTCTGGTTTATTTCATGGTTCCACAATATTGCCCATATTTCTTCATTTTGGCATGTCCCCAAAAGATGCAGTTGTTTTGAGTAAAATATGAAACTGAACTCTGGAAAGCAGTAGCTATAGGAGGCAGATACAAACGAGTGAAACAGAGCCCAAGGATAAAGGAAAAGAAAAAAAGATGGAACAGTATGCTGCATTAAGGAGCAAATAGGCAGCAAAAAGCCAAGATGAAGTGGTGTGTCAGTTCTAAGACAACTAGTTAGAAAGACAACGATTAAAAAGATGCCAGAAATTAAGGGAGGGCTTCGAGATTCAGAGAAGCCATGTTGAGAACATGGGAAAAGCAAACAACAGGATAGCAAAGACAATGGACACCTTGATAAAGGCATAGATTCTCTCAGATGAGAGTTTTCTTGGTTTGTGAGGTCATAGGTTTGCTCTTCAGAACAAACCCAGCCCTAGAGTTCAAGACTGTTAACTCCACATACTTGGATATTCTTAACACTGGTTTTCCAGGGTTGAAAAGCTACAGCCTTGTTAATAAAGGTCATTAAAAGTATATGATATTTGTATTGAGTCCATGGTTGAGGATTTCCATGTTATCTACAATAAGTCTTTCTGTTTTATATTTATCAAATAGGAAGTAAACCCCAAAATAATAATGGAGAGGAAAAAAGGTATGCAAAAGAGCAAGGTATTTTGTTTGCCAAATTGTTCTTACCATTATTGCAAAACACTGACTCTTAGTAGCACGGGGGGCAGAGGCACACTTCCTGGAGTTGGAGATAATCTTTGACAAAGGAAAGGATGGGAGAGGGTAAGAGTAGACTGAGGTGAGGAAAGGTTTACCTCACTTACTTTATTCACCTCCGGAGCACAATGTCATTGATGCCCAAATGCTGGGTTATTTTTTTCATAAAGAAAAAAATGGGCTAATCAACAACTAAATAATAGAATATGGCTATATTGATTTTTCTGATAAGCTCATATTTAAAAAGAGCCCTTTACAAATGTAAGATTTAACAGGAATAACACAAATAATTTCATAAATCCTGGAAAGTTAGTTTAACAATCTTCAAAGTAATATTAAAGATTTCTAAATACCTGAATGCTAAAAATAAAGGAAGAAAAATAACTGGTGATCTGACAGGACCTTAAACGAGACAGAAGGTTTATCTGAGGTTGCAGTAAAGTATCTCACTGCTTTATATTTTTATACTCTGTATACTCTGTGACAGTCACATCTGCATTCATGGTACCTATAATCTAATAAAATTTATGTAACCTAATAGAAAAATGTATGCTTTTATGCACAGAAATTACCCTCACACGTGTCTGGTGGAATTGCTTTAGGCAATCTTGACAATCTTATAAATACTAATGAAATCTGTGACAAAAATTTGGATAGAAAAGTACATGAGTGTTTGAAACAGAAAACTATATTATGGAAAATATAATTAATATAAAGTAACGATGCATTGGCATTATTTGGCTGCCTTTATGATTCTATTTAAAGACCTTTATATTCATTAATTTAATATTCACCACAAATTTGCCAGGGAAATACTGTGATTATTCCCATTTTAAATATATATGAAATTTGAAATACAGAATACTTTTGTATTTATCATGGCTGGTAAATAATGAAGCTAGGAATTAACCTTCCTTTTTTTTCATTCCTCAGGCTAGAAAATGACCCAAGAATTTGCACTTGTAAGGCAAGTTGTCTACCACTGAGCTACATTCTCCAACCATGGAGCCAGGGACTAAAAATAGTCAAACTGTCCCAAGGTCCTATACTAATTACTTCTATGTCACTCACTATTCCCATTAAGCTTGTCCAAATTTTGCAAGTGAATATTAAGCAGTCCAAATATTTAGGACAAGATTAATTGACCATGAGGTCTCAGCATTTATTTCTAAGAATAAGTTATGATGTTTTGATAAGAAGTCTATTTGTCTTATACCTGTACTCAATGGTAAGACTGAAATTCACAGAGAGAATCTGTGTTTCTGGGTGGCAATCATTTGCTTGATTTCATTTGAGACAAGGTCTTTAGCACCTCAGCATATCCTCAGCATATCTTCTAGGATATCACTATGTATCAGAATGTAAGTTCAAACTTTGCATCTCTCTTGCTTCTACATCACAAGTACTGAGATTACAAGCACATGCCACCATGCAGTGCCAACTGAGCCAAATCCCCAGCTCCAAGAATCTTAATTTCTTTCTGCTATCACTTCAAATTCTCTCATAATTTCCTTGTAGCAAGGAGAAACATGGAGTGATAGGTAACATCAAATGATTCTGCTCTTAAATCCTGGTTTTAGCATGCCTATTATTTCAAGCAAGTAATTAACTATTGATTCCATGCACCTCCATTATATCACCTGTAATGCAGGGAGAACAATCAACAGGATTGTTATGAAGAGTAAATGAGATCAGTGCCTATGAAATGGCAGTTGAGGGACAGGACTGTTGCAGATGTATGTGAAGCTTATTCAGCCCCTACTTTCAACAAAAGAGATACTGTTGTAAATTGGTAAAGTCCCCATTGGTAGATTTACCCAACTGTGGGCTGAATTATTATCTGCTACAGATAACATAGGAAACATTTAAATATTCAGTCTACTCTTTAATATCCAGCCACTAATGTCCACCTACTAAGTTTCTGACTGACTCTTCTGATTCCATTATCTTGCTGTCAGTTAAACAAAACCTTGCCTGTTTTGTTCTCTGGGAGTTGGGATTGAATAAAATACTCAGAAGAGTTGGAACAGCTTGTATGGCTTGTAGTTTGTCTTGCAGAGGGAAGGCTAAAGGAGGGTAGTTTAAAATAGCAGTTATAATACACATGAAAGACACCAGTAGCTACTTTAATTTCTGTTCCTTTTCTTTCCTTGTCAGTTTTAAAATTGTAAGACCCCTTTGTTCTCTGTCCTCTTATCCTATGTACTGGCTGCCTCTGCTCCTCTATTAGTTTAGTTTTGTACATGTTTTTCTGTTTTCTCTCATATATCATTATTTTGAAATTATTTTGATGTTTTAGGAATAATTCTCCATACTTCGTTTTTTGTTCTCCCTTTTCACTGTTTACCGTGGAAGAGAACAGACCTCGTTATCCCATTATCCACCAATTTTCCTACCCACCTATTATCGTCCCGAGCAACCTTTTCTCTGCATTCACTGTTCTTACTTGTGCTTGTGTGTTCCATTGTCTGCTATCATAACTGTACTGCTTTTATGTTGCTTTCACAATATTCTGAAGGACAAGAACTAAATTACATGTAATGATACCAGACAGAGGACTTTTGTTCAGGGAAGTTTGTGCATTTAGACATTTCTTCTTGTACTGAAAGGACAGAATTGCAACATGGGCCGTTGGAAACAACTCATATACTAAAGTACCAATAAGAGCTAGGGATGTGGGTGGAGAGATGGTCCAGTGGTTAAGAGCACATGCTGCTCTGTGGAAGACTGGGGTTCAGTTCTAAACACCCACATAACTCTAGCTCCAGGGAATTCAATGTCCTCTTCTAGACTACACATTCACATGCACTCACATGTTTCAAATATATAAATTCAGACACACAATATACACATAGAATAAATAAATCCATGTTTAATGAAAGCAACAAGGACAATATAGAAATAAGATAGATAAGGGAGTTGAAACCAGAATAGTGGATACTAGATTCTACTCACATCTTACCAGTTTAATGTTAACCAGCACTTCTTAATCTATTTTTTCTTTTATTTGTCTGTTCCTTTTATTCATCTTTTATCTATTTTCTTCACTGTCCAAAGGAACTAGTAATGAAGCAAATTTCAGAAAGGCTCTAGAGGGAAACCATGATAGCTAGTGGGAAGTAGTGGAGTATACTGCTAACAGTATGTCTAACCAGACTAGATGGTGCCCATTACTTTTCTTCAGTGAATTACCTGAATTTAAATATGTTTTCTCTGCTTATAATTATTCCTCATTTGAAAACAATAGGAATCTAAATGCAGTCATGAAATGTAAATGAGGCTATACAGATAATAATTGTTAGCACATTGTATTTACTAAATATTAGCAATTAATACAATTACAGTGCATGCCATGTTGCTAATCATTCACTCAGCAATTTTAATTCTAAAGCAATACATAATACATTCCTTAATAAAAGGCACAGATTTTAGAGCCAGATGTTGTGGATCCAAAGCCAGCTCTACTGTTTAATCTTGACTAAGTTCAATAGGGGCTCTATATCTATATTTCCTTATTAAATGCAGCCACCTACCTTGTAGTACTTTGTCAGCAATATTTAAGTTGATAAATGTAAAGTCATTAGGATAGCAGTTGGCATACAGTATATGCTATTTAAATGCTCACTGCTACTATTGTCACTGTTAGTTTTATTTTAACTCTTAAGCATGTGCTGTACGTGTTGGAATGCAGTAATGACCAAAACAAGCTTACCCTTGTCCATGTGCATTCCCCAAGATCTGGATAGAAAACTGGAGTGTTCTAGTGTGGGGAAGAGTAGCCAGGACCCTCTCTAAAGTAGTAGAGACAAAATAAATAAGGCAGGATAGAATCCTGAACAGCTTTGTGCGCCAGATTGTAGCATCTGTCATTTGTACAAAATGTCCTGTGAAGTCTTGCTAAATCCTAGGATTACCTAGTGGGATCAAGTTCAAATATCTGTGAGCCGTTTGAATTATGTAATGTCAGGGATTAGGGTAGTTCCTTGCTGGAGCCACGGGCTGTGACCCGGAGCTTGGTTTCTACCGGCTGTTAAAACAGTCCTGGAGAACTACTAAGCTCTTTATGTCCCATGAGTTAAACAACCAAAAAGGGAAACTGAGAAAGGCTGGTATCCTGTTAGAAAACATAAACTCCACTAGACTGGGAATTTGTGATCCAAATATCTATTTGGGGCATATTATCACTACACCACTTTGGAAGCGTCAACCCATGTAATACCAACAGTACCACAAGCACTTAGGACTCAAGAAGGATTTGTTGTGTTGCTATGTTTTATAAGACCCAAGAGATCTCAGAAACTGCCTTTTCTATGGACAATCCCTGAGTGAGGCAAGTTCACAAAAGACAGAGTGCTGAGCACAATCTAAATGAAAAAACAAAACTAAATGCTGTAATTAGCATCATGGTTAAGTGCCAAGTGAGTAGCATTTAACAGCCTTTATAGTTAGGATTAGAATTTATACAAGGGGAGCCATAACAGTTAGAATGTCTAATCGGAGAGCATTTCTTTGGTGAAGACTATGTGACTTTGACAGTGAAGGTTAGAAGGACTGAAATATGAGAGCTGGTTGGGAAGAAAAAGAAACAGTATTGTGAGCCCAAGCAGGTTTGTGATTTGTGTGAGCGGGTTAGCAAGTACTATTCCTACTCTAAATGCATGTGAGATTTCTAGAATCAGTGGCAATGTAAATTGAAAAATACTGGATTTAATATTTTCTTTGACCAATAGTACTTAACTCTTCATATTTGGCTTGCTTGAACAATACAAGTTACAAGAGTCAGTAGAATTTTGAGGTTTATCAAAAAGGATTTTAAAGGAGCACAAAAGCTCAAGGCTACATTTACCCAACAAAGCAGGCTCATAAGGTTGAAACTTTGTGTTTAAGTTGGAGCTTTGCAGCCATTTAATATGATAAGGTTAACTTTTGTAACTTTGCAGTTGCAATAACTGAGGCTAAGAGAAGCTAAGCGGCTTGCCCAAGGCCATACAGCTAAACATCTAGAACTCAAATTTAAATATTTCTATTTTATTCATATTCTTTTCGCTGTCCCATGTTGTTTGGTGGCCTTTATTATCCATTCTGCTTGGACTTCCTGAACCCATAGATCACTCCTAATCATTTCAATCATATCCCTGCACTTAGCTTATCACTAATCTGATGCCTGAAACGTCATACTGAACCCTCCATCAGCCATAAAGAGAAAATTTTAATAACACACTCTAATCTTTATTTTTCTGTTAAAGAAATAGAAAATTTTCTTGTTCTTTTCTCATACTTAAATATATAAATAAACATTAGGATATTTAGATTGATTGATGTGACTCCATTACAAGCATCAATCTGAATATCCTAATGTTTATTTATATATAATGGAGTCACGTGATCATACCCATACTTAAATTGTAGGAAATTGCCAAAGGCATTTAAGATTGAAGTCACGAGGCACTAATTTGTTAGAGGGGAGTAGGAATTTTTGGACTCAGGTTAAGAACCAGGAAATTGAAGTTTTTAATAGTTTGAGACAGCCACTCATGAAGTGTGCTATCCAGATCTGCCTTTCCAGGTCTGTATATGCCATATTATTAACTGTAAGGGAGAATTCAAACCTTACTTCCATATTTTTTCTCATAATATCCTCCTTTTATCTAGTTAAATTAGCCTGACAGTGCTCAGTTTTTGGAGCCTGTATCTCACAAAATGTTTCTGAAATTTTGAGATCAGTTCATGGAGCCAATCCATTCTTTGTGCCAGGACTGAGTTTTTGCACCTTGGACATGGTTGAAATAGGCCTAAAAACTATTAGCCTTCTCTGTCAACTAATCTCTGCTTCTCCAGTGATCTTGGTATTACAAGTACCCAAGAGATCTGTCTGAGTTTAGTGGCGGGGTACTCACTGGATCCGAACCCATATGTATTCCCATTTTATTTTTAGGTATATTATGTATTTATAATAATTATAGCAGTAAAAAGAACTATGTGATGGTTATCGGTTGCAAAACAGTTAAATAATACCTATATTTTCAAGCCTGGGTATTTGAGATTGACAGAAATACATTGAAAATCATAGCTTATACTACAATAACTAGCATATATTCACTCCCATGTGGTATTCCTCATTTCTAAGCAGAATGAAGTTGTTAGCCTCTAAACTGTCATACTACTATGCAAATAGGCATATTTTGCATATGTCGTTATTGTAGCATATAGTATACATATCTTAGTACGACTGCTAATTAATTTACCACTGTGCTGTTTCAATTTTTCAAATGACACAAGCTAGAATCATCTGAGAAGAGGGCAATACAATGTGCAAGCCACTGTGAGCAATACAATCCCTGGGGAAGTGGGCCTGGGTTGTACAAGAAAGGTAGGTGAGTAAGCCACTAGGAACAAGCCTAGTAAGCAGCATTCATCCATAGTCTCTGTTTCAGTTTCTGCCTCCAGGTTCCTGCCTTGAGCTACTGCCCTGACTTCCCTTGATGATAGACTGAAGACTATAAGCCAAATAAGCCCATTCCTCCCCCATTGATACTTTTGGTTATGTTGCTCATCACAGCAATAGAAAGTAAAGTAGGACATGTTCCTTTTCATTTCTGACTCACTTCTTCCATTTTCTCCTCTAGTCTGAATTTCTATATATCATTGTCATATATTTCATTATAACTTTGTTACTTCTATATGTCTCTAAAATATATAGCATTGTTTTATATGTTGATTGTGGAAAATAGAAATCAGCTTAAAACACATGGAAAGGAAATGAAGTGAATAATTAACATGAGATTTAAAATGAGAGTGTTTGGGGGTCATAGATTTGCATAGGGTGGTATGCAATATACCATTTAAAATGCAATAGAGAAATAAGACCACTAAGACCAGACTTATGATGAGAGCCTCACTGACTATAATTAGGGTGATCAAATTCTATGCAGATGAGTAAAACAACAAAAGACAAAGGACATTTTATTTGTACACATTTATAATTTTGCTTTGCTAGTTAAGATCATGAGATTCATCTGTGTGGATATACATACCTTCCTTACTCTCTTTTAGCCACTTTTCCTGTCAGAGTAGTTCTTGTCCCAAAACACCAAGTATTAAAGCATTAGATACATTACAGTTAACTCTTCCTGTCCAACAGTCTATGACCTTCTAGGAACTCTCACCACTGAACTTTTGTTTAATATTTTATTCTCAGCATCCTGATTGAGTTTTTCAGCACATTCTAGCAAGCTTATTTTATGCTTATGGTAATCATGCCAAGTTTTTGGAAGCTGAAAAATCCCTTGCTGATAGCGCTTTTTTTTGCATACTCCTTTCTATTGCTTATGAGCAGTTTACATTTCAGTGGTTGATGCTGGGGTTTGAAACAGTCTTTGGATGTGGGAGATCTCTTAAGAGCATCTCCTTAACGAACTTCTTAGTGTCCAAGTGGTCATCTCAGTGCATGTATTGAGACCATAAAAATCTCCATTTATATTCCAGAATAATGACCGTGTTTGTGTCCTGTTGTAACCATGTGCCACCTCTGCTGGCTTCAGTCTGCCTATACTTCTGACAAAATAACCTCTTTCTTCCCACCTAGGACCTAATCCGGAGAGACATCCTATACTACAAAGGGCGCATTGACATGGATAAATATGAGGTAATTGACATTGAAGATGGCAGAGATGATGACTTTAATGTCAGCATGAAAAATGCTTTCAAGCTTCATAACAAGGAAACAGAAGAAGTTCATCTGTTCTTTGCCAAGAAACTGGAGGAGAAAATACGTTGGCTCAGAGCTTTCAGAGAAGAGAGGAAAATGGTACAGGAAGATGAAAAAATTGGTAAGTGACCTGAGAGCAGAAAGAAAAATGTAATTATGAAGAACCTTCCATAGAGGGTTACAACTGGTTTCATCTTTCTAGAGTCAAAGGGAAGATTTTTGGTGCAAACTGACCTAAGTCACTATGGTGGTTCCTTATTCTAAGTCTGTGTAAATACCAGGTATGAGTTAAAGATTTTTCATGTCTATTATCTATTTCCAGATAGGAATATTATACCAAATTCTAGTTCCAACTCAATTCTCCCCTACCATACACATATGTATTAGTAAACAAACACAAAGGAGACACGCGTGCTATTCTGTAATCTCCATAAATTCACAGAGTTCTTCATTTCTAGGTGTATGAGGAACACATGTTTTATGAAATGATTTGTCGATGCAGATTTGGTAGAGTTATACCAATGATATGGATAGCTCTCTTTCTTTGTTTGTGTTGCTAGGAATACATGCCAGGGCCTTGTTCATGCTAGCCAAATACACTGTTAATGAGTTACATCCCCAGCCTTTAGCCAACTTCAAACGTAGAAAGTAGCAGCATAATTCTGATGAGGACCAAGGTAAAGTGTGGTAATTTGAATGTAAGTGGCCCCCATAAACTCGTAGGTAGTGACACTCTTAGGAGGTGTGGTCTCATTAGAGTAGGTACAGTCTTGCTGGAGGAAGTGTGTCACTGTTGAGGCGGGCTTTGGGATCTCACATATGCTCAAGATACCACTCAGTGTCTCAGATATTCACTTTCTATTGCCTTTTAATCAAAATGTAGCTAGCACCATGTCTGCCTGCTTGCTGCCATGCTCCCTGCAATAATGATAATGGACTGAACCTCTGAATTGTTAGCTGCCACCTGAGCTAGATGTTTTCCTATATTAAGAGTTGTCAGGGGCCAGGCGTTGGTGGTGCACACCTTTAATCCCAGCACTTGGGAAGCAGAGGCAGGTGGATCTCTGTGAGTTTGAGGCCAGCCTGGTCTACAGAGCAAGTTCCAGGACAGCCTCCAAAACAATACAGAGAAACCCTATCTCAGAAACCAAAAAGAAAAAACAAAGAGTTGCCATTGTCATGGTGTCCCTTCACAGCAATAGAGACCCTAACTAAGACAGAAATGACCTGCTTTATTCACAAACTTCAGGTCTCTTTCAAGTTACAGGTTTATTTCATTCTTATTCTGAGTTCTGAGAAGGCCAAATTACATGTACACACCTTAAATTTCATTCATTTTAACTTGTGAAAACTTATGTCTAAAACAGTTTATTTGGGCCTCCTCCATTAAGGTGGTAGTATTACTCCCAGTGGCAAAGGCATCTGAGTATTTAATTCTTGATAAAGTTACTTCAGATATTAACTTATAATAAAAAATATGCACTTAGTCATCATACTCTAGAACTATTTAAAAATAAATTACAGAAAATACAACAATATCAAAAACTGTAACTACTTATTTCATTTAGATTCAGAATAAAACATCCTTTTTGGATTGAAGCAGTTAATGTGGCTATGGTTTGTGCCTATAGATTTCTAGCTTATTGAATACAATCTAATATCTTCCTCAAGATACTATTTCTATAATAAAAATATCAGCCAGGTACAATGTTTAATACCTGTGATTTCTGTACTCAGAAGATGAAAGCAGGATGATTCCAAGTTCAAGGCCAGCCTGGACAGCATCATGAATTCAGTGCCAACCTGAACTATAGTGGGAGTTCATTTTTAAAAATGAAAGGCCACCTGGGAAACATTTGGGGATTGGGTGAGGGACTGGGAGGCCTGGTAGGGGGCTGGGGGAGGAGGGGGCGGGAGCTGGGATTGACATGTGAAGCAACCTTGTTTCTAATTTAAATTAAAAAAGAAGTAAATAAAATACAATAAATTTTAACCACAAAAAAAACAATGAAAGTCCAGGGATGTAGCTCAAAGACAGAGTTCTTGCCTAGAACGCATAATGTCTTGTGTTCAATCCCCAGCACTGGGAGAAAGGCAGCAAATAAGATATATCAACCTTTCTAATTCCTAGAAAAGTTTCTTGTTTTGCTCCATGTTTTATATGAATAGAATTGTTCCTTAAAATGCCTATATGCTCAAGGTTGTGGAAATTGCCTCTAGAAAAATATACTTACCTGCTGAGTTCTGGCACAAAAGGTTTGTTATATCATACCATGATAGTGACTGAAAGGACCCAGAATAAAAGATGGATGACCAGAAAGACAGGGTAATACTTGTTTTCCTATATCTTAACGTCCACATTGACAACACACTTAAAGTCTTATTAGAGTCAAGTTCCTTTTAAAGTACAAGCATTGCATTTGAGACATAATGTAAAATGATACTGAGATACTGGAAGTTAGACCTATCAATAGATAATCTGAGTTCATAGATCATGCATTAATTAAAAGATTTCTGCCATTCCCTCTGCCTCTAGCTCCATATCTCCCATATAATGCCCTAATAACTTGTGCCTTCAAAGACCTGCTTCTAATTAAAAGCTTCCATAAATTATTTTCTGACAGGCTTATGTCATCTTTGTTTTCATTTTAGATATGGATTTATGTGTCTTTTCCTCTAGTCTAATTACATTAAGTTAGAAAACACTGAGCAAACAAACAAAAAATACCACAAATGGTGAAAATCACAATAACATACACTGTAATAAGAACTTTTGTAAATGTTTTGATATATTTCCTTCTAGTCTTTTCTTATCTGTATTTAAATAAAACTGTGAGAGTTCCTGACTATTTCTCTTTCTTTCACACCTATCTCTATAAATGCAATTTTATTCCCACTTTTCATTTCATATTAGCTCATTAGCATTTCTACCAATTATTTATTATCTTTATAGCTGTCATGCATGTTTGCCATAATTTTGTTGTATTATTTAATTATAAATGTTGACCATGATAAGCATTTAAATCATAGTAGAAATATACAAAGCATTCTTTTGCATTTCCTCTCACTCTTGTTTTAGTATTAATTAGAATTTAATAAATGCTAGTGGTTTTATTCATGAATAATTGACTAATTCTTATTAGAAAATTAATGAACAATCTCATGAGAAATTACATATTTCAAATTTGAGTGATTTTTATAAAGAATAAAGAACAGTTTATTTGATAGTGTTATACTTTGAATTTCAGTATACCTTTAATTTATTAAAAAAGAAGGCACTACGAGGATTTTTTTCTTCTCTTATACAGTACATCCCAACTGCAGCCTCCCCTTTCTTTACTCCTCCTATTTCCTCCCCCAGATCCACTGCTTCTCAATTTCCCTTCAGACCTCCCAGGAATATCAACTGATCATGGCATAATAAGATGCTATAAGACTACACATAAACCTTCATAGCAAGGCTGGACAAGGCAACCCAGTAGGAGGAAAAGGGTCCCAAGAGCAAGAAAAAGATTCAGAAGTACCCCCCACCCGCTCTCACTGTTAGGAGTTCCACAATAACATCAAACTAACAACCATAACATATATATGATTCAATGGTAAAATCCTCTCACTCATATTCTATGAGATAATGAACACTGACAATTTGTTGTTTCTTTCCATACTTACCCCATGTGCTTTATCTTTCTCCCTCTCTCCTTACTGTTCACACACACACACACACACACACAGAGAGAGAGAGAGAGAGAGAGAGAGAGAGAGAGAGAGAGAGAGACACACAGACAGCTCACAAAAATGTGTTTTACATATTACTTTGTGACTTTGTTTTTCTTTAAACTAAATTTTTCATAGTAACTATCTAGATATATAACCTTATATACTTCCTTACATCAGTTGAACTTCAAACAGAGAAGCATAACCAAGATTTAAAAGCTTTATTACAAGGAATTGGTGTGATTGCAAAGGTTGGACAAGTGATTCCTGCATTTGAAGGACATGAGGTGAGGCAGGCATGGAAAGTCATGAGTAGAGACAAAGGTATCAGTTACAAGAAATTAGTAACAGAGACTCTCTATGTATGCACTTCTGTTCCACAGGTAAAAATTCTTCCACTGGGTACCTCGAACTTCTTTTATAAGCCTTTTAGCAGATTCAGTCAAGCCCATTCATATTATCTAGGATACTGCCCTTTACATATCTTTGATTAGGGGTTTTTATTACACCTGGGAAATTCCTTCATGATGATCCCTATATTTTTAAGGAGAATACTCCAGTCAAACTGGCACATCAATACTGGCACCACGTGCTTCTCTTTAACATTGGTATAATAGCCGTATGGAAATGGAGCAATCATTCCCCTTTTGATAGATTTTCCACGTGTGTTTCCAGCTAATTTATTCTTTTTAAAAACTTATCGTTATTATTTTATTTTTATGTGTGTGTGTTTTGTGTACATATATTTCTGTGCACCACATACATGTCTGGAGCCTGTATAAGCCAGAAAAAGGCATCAATTTCCCAGAAACTATAGGTAAATACAACTGTGAGCCACCATGTAGATGCTGGAAACCAAACTCACAACCTCTTTAAGAGCAGCTAGTGCACTTAACTATTGAACCTTCTCTCCAAACACTTATTTCTAGCTTTTTTCCCATGAAATATATTGCTGTAAAACATATCTACATGTATATTTCATTATACACTGTTGTTTTATTCCTGCAGCATAAACAGTCTAAAATGGAATGAGGGAATATGAAGGTGTATAAACATATGCATACACATTATGTATCAGAAAAGTTATAAAGTCTACCCCTCAATATGATTTGGTACTTATTTCTCCATATCTACACCAGTACTCCATAATATTTACTTTTTAATTTGTTACTTCACTTACTAAAGTTCAACTTATCCATATAACTGCTATTTCTTGCCAATTTCTTTGTGAAATTAACACTGAATATTCTTTACCTGTTCTTATTTTATTTAATTTAAAATAAAATCCTAAGCAGTGTCAATCACAAACAGACTTGCAAATTGTTTATAGTATGTGAGTTACTGGTAATGAAAAAAAAACTGCCAATTTTAGACTATTTTTAAAGAAGGGATAGAAGAGGAAACAAATGTATACATATGATATATATATGTGTGTGTGTGTGTGTGTGTGTGCGTGTGTGGCACATATGTGTAAAATTTATTATATTTCATGATGATTTTTTATAGAAACACACCTATAAAATTCATATACCCCAATTTTTACATGTTATGTTCTCAAAAATGGATTAAATTTGTAGGCTTGGGATTTGCTCAGTAGTTAGTATACAGCAGGCTCAGCACTCCATCCCTATTTTGGCAGAAAGGTGAAAGAAGTGAAGGAGAAAAAGGAAAAATATATATTTGTATTACTTTATATTGAAAATAGTAAAACCTTGTCAGTTTTCAGTTTCACATAGTTTCCTTGATTTACAATTTGTCTTTCCAGTTTGTTCATGGTGCTTAATTCTGCTAAAAAAAAGTTAATTGCTTTAACAAACGTACCTACTATTTCTTTTTTTTTTGCCTCCCACTTTTATTCTACTTAAGGAGATCCACACTACCAACACCTAACAATTTCTGAAATTTTTTAAAAATAAATTGGAAACAAAATTCATCTGAAATTTATTCTTTGAATGTAGTGTACATTTACTCTCTTTTTTTTCAGATGAATAGCCAATGGCACCAGCAGTAATATACTAAATCAACTGTGTATTACTCACAAACAAATTTCCAGTTTTGTAGACTGTAACTGTCCATACATACTTAGGTTTGTCTTAGAATGTCTATTCTTTTTCACTATTCTGGTTATGAAGACTATACTGTGTAGTTCTTCATCGTTGTTTCTTAGCAATTCTTTGATGTTTATTCTTTGATATGAGTATCAAACTCCACTATTCTAAACCCAAGAAAGACAGACTTAGATTTTGACTCATTGTACGAAACTTTTTAAAATTTAGAAAGCTTAGCATTTTTGTTATTTCCTCATTCTAAGAGAATGCTCTTTTGTTTTTTAATCCTAATCTTATCCGCACCTACTTCAAGAACATGTTATAATGTCCTTCATATTATATAGCTTTTTCCTTTATACTATGATTTAGATAGTTTGTACTTGACTAAACATCATTAATAACATTCATATTTTTTTGTAATTGTGGTTATCTCTCATTTTCATTCCTGATAGTGAATAGTTCTTATTTTCTAACATTAATTTTATTTATTCAGATACATCTTTATGATGTACATTATAATAATTTGATACATGTGTACAATGTGTAGTAATCAAATTAGGACAAAGAACATTTCTATCTCTTCAAACAGTCACTTTTATGTACTGACAAACTGATACTATTCTAGTCATTTTTTAATACATTGTAGTGTTTTAATTTGTAGTTTTTCTACCAAGCTAAATAATAGCTATAAACAATTCTTGCATTCTGTTTTGGTGCCTGTCTTTGAACTTCTTTCTTTTTCTCTGCCCGGAAGTCCTGCCTATTTCCCCTACCTAGCTATTGGCCATTCAGCCTTTTATTACACCAATCCCAGCAATTTGGTAACAAGGAAAACTAAACTATCAAGTCTTCAATCCCCATCAGAGACCCAAGAAGGATAAAATATTACTTGAGTAAACAGGAAATGCAGAACAAACATTTTGCAAAACTATAAGAATAACATAAACATTTGGCTGTCTGGACAGTCACCCCAGGTTCCTCTGCAATATTGTGGCATCTGTCTTCAGCCTACAGTCCTAGAATATCTGACATACTTTCATATGAAGCAGGAATTTTGAAGGATCTTCTTACCTTGTCTTGACAAAATTTAGCAATAACCTTCTTTTGTGTCCTGCTTGTCCAATTTGTACAGAATTCTGTCAGTTGAGGCAAGGGCAGTTTCTTGCCCAGTGGCTAACATTGCCCGAAATAAAAGAAAACTACATCTGGGTTACCTGATTTAATATAGTTTTCTGCTATCACATATTTTCTATAAGTTTTATAATTTTGTTTTACTTGAATTAACAAAAGTCCATTGTGAATATGTACCACATTTCCATTATGCATTCATCAGTTGATGGGCAGCTAGGCTGTTTCAATTTCCTGGATATTATGAATAGAGCAGCTACCAACGTAGATGAATATGTATCTCTAGAGTAGGATGTAGAGTCCTTTGGGGATGTGTTGAGGAATGTGTTATGGTAACTCTATGTTTAATGTTTTGCAAAACCTCTGTATTGATTTCCTTAATACCTATACCATTTTATGCTCCTTCCAGCAGTGATTAAAAGTTCATCTTTCCCTACAACTTTGCCATTATTTTGTTTGGGATTTTTTTGATATATTTGTCAGATATCTTTGGAATGAAAGATATATTCATTTTTACAGTACATAAAGGTATTTGTTTTTTTATAATAAAGTTCAAATTTCTTTTGTGTTGTAGGCTTTGAGATTTCTGAAAACCAGAAGAGGCAGGCTGCAATGACTGTGAGAAAAGCCTCTAAACAGAAAGGTACATTTGCCTTTTCTCCTTCAGACCCACTTGCTATCTGTATGAGACTAAGAAACCATAGGCTATGTGTTTTCACATTCCTTGGCTCCTTTCCATACTGGGGTTCACTTGGAATAGTACCCAGCTACACAGGTATCCTTGACAACAGGTAACAAATGCTCTTAATGTTTTAATTATTGGGAGTAAGTGGTATAGGGTAGTCATATCCATGCTATTGGCTAGATAAACAAAACAAAATCAAAACCATTGTCTTTTTTAACTTTTTTGAATAATTTAGAGAGAGGCAGGTAATAGTGCATGTATATAATTTATTTAATTAATATAAATGTTTAGGGATATGTTCTCAGGTTCCTTTCAGCTATCTAGAAATACTTACCTAAGCAGTAGCCCCATCCCAAAGTGAAGAGCCTCAAATTGAAACCAGATAGTCTTTCTTTGAGGCAAACACTGAAATACCTTTGAAAATTTAAAATACAAACAGAATCAACTTAAATATGAAATAGTTCTTCTTTTCTTTTTCATGAACCAGAACAAAACTAAAGTGCTCAGTTGAGCAAAAAGAAGGAGCTACCTTCCACTTAATGGAGTGTGTACTTAGTATCAAATTTCTTAATTTCTTTCATTTCATCTTTATAGTAACCCAAAGAAAATGGCACTATTAGCCCCTGTTCCAGGTTAAGAAACTGAAAACATTCAAGGTAAAGTGATTTTTTAACCTAAGTCATCTTGATTCTGAGACCACTGCTCTCTCCTCTTCATCTCAGGGTCCTGATGATGATGATATCTCTTGTTTGAAAGAAGAGCTCATTTTATTGTCTCATCTCAATTACTGGCAACTATTTTTACTACTGGCAGTATTTTCACTGTCCCCAGGATTTGATGCCACATCACTTTTCCCAGACATTTTCTTCTGTTCTCTCCTTAGCTCTCATTAGCTCTAGATGAATTCTAGAAATGAAGGAGCAAAAACTGACAAAATAGCGCTAATGTAAATATCATTAGAAAAGTAATTGCTCTAGTGTCTCCTTCTCATGTTATTTGTATACCACGGGATATTGTCAACCATCTATTTTTCTGAGGGGTTATCTGGCTGATATAAAGACCTTTTCGCTATCTTTTTACTTTCTGCTGTCTTGGTTTTCAGAATTTATATATAACTTATTGGGGTTAAGTGCTAATTCTTCATACACCAATGCAATTGAGTTTATCAATACAAAAGATGTCAGAATCATAAATACAACCTCCATCTTCATAGGCTTTAGGGCCAGTTAAAAAGCAGATTAATAATCTAGAATAACTTAAAAATTTTTGAAAAATAAAATGGGAGTAATTTGTCTAATTTCAACACTCGTTATATAGGTACATTTAACTGAGGCGTTACAGATAGTTTAATGGCAAAGAATTCCTAAATAGATCTAGACACGTATGTGTGGCCTATTTTTGACAAAGACAGAACAACAATTCAGGAAACAGAAAAAGTGCAACCTTTTCACCAAATAGTGCTGAATTAGATTTCCATACACAAAATAGAACTTTGATATAAGCCTACACCTTGTGTAACAAATAGAAATTCACTGTGAAATTAAATATCAAACTATAGAGGTCTAAGAAAAAGTGTACAAAAAGTCTTTAGGATCTAAAATAAAACAAAGAAGTTCATAGATTTGACATCAAAAGCTTGAAACAAAAAATGGAAAATAGAACATGACAAAGTTCTCCCTGACGTCCCTGTATTATATGTTGGCATCAAATACCATTTCTGGCACTTGCCACTTCAAAAATGGCTCCAGAACCTAATTCTTCCTTTGAATGTGCCAATAGCTAACAATGAGTTAATATTATGAGTACCGACAGGGTGGTTAGATTCCTTGAATCTTCCATTAATGTGAACTTTGGTGTGGTGGTCACAACCCCCATTGAAACTGTATGCTTTGAAAAGATTCCATTTTTCCTTTATTTATATGAATCATGTCTTCTGATGATGAATTTCCTTTCTGTTTCGGTTATTGATGTCAATGTTCTATTAAATACAGGTTTATCACTATCAACCCAAAGCAAAACACTGAATCACTGTGCTTAAGCATTATGGAAAGTACTGAAGTCAGTAGTACTTTTGACACTTTCAGGGAGTTTTGGAGAAGAAGAGAACTAAAATCTAGAAATAAAAGGATTTTGTTAGGTTGTTCAGAGGAACAAGCCTTAAATCAGGGATTATGGTCTCCTAGAAAGAGCAACTAACCAAGAAGTCAACAAATGTGGGTTCTAGTTCTTTCTTTGTTGCTAGATAAACATGAGACCTTGGGTATAATATTTCTTTCTAGTCCTTATTTTTCTTGTCTGTCAAACAAGTGCTAGTAACACTCCATAATTTTTGTGATAATAGATAAGATGGTGGAGGATGTGGTGTTATATGTGATTGGGAAAGAAATAATTTGCAGTACTGATTGATTATCCTTACTCAAAATGCCTGAGAGCCCAAGTACCTGAGATTATAAACTTTCTGAATTTGGGAATGTTTGCATAGACTTTTTTGATTGAATAGTTTTAAGATGAAAATCTTAAAAGTTCCAAAATACGAAACTTTCTGATTGCTAGCTTGAATTTCAGAGTATTTCAGTCTTGGAGGTTAGGGATATTCAATATATTACCAGGTAAAACTCTAAACTAGTGGACTGTGAGGGATCATTGGTTACTTTGAGAAGCCACTTGGTACTAAACTTATACTCTTATCTTTTGATCTCTTATTTGCTCTAGGTGTCAACTCTGCCCGCTCAGTCCCTCCTTCCTACCCACCACCACAGGACCCGTTAAACCAGGGCCAGTACCTGGTCCCCGATGGCATCGCTCAGTCTCAAGTCTTTGAGTTCACTGAACCGAAACGCAGCCAGTCACCATTCTGGCAAAACTTCAGTAGGTTAACCCCCTTCAAAAAATAATACCTATAGGAAGGCAGATAATTTTAAAATAAATAAAATTATATTTATAGATGGACCTTTTTTCGGAGAAGCACTGTTGAAAATTTATATATATATATGTGTGTGTGTGTGTGTGCGCGTGTGTGTGTGTATGTGTGTGTGTGCACGCATGTGTGTGTGGCACACACACACAGACCTTTAAGTATACACATGTGTGTGTGGGCATGTGTGCACATATGCATGCACATGCATGCACACATACATACGTATACACACACAGAGAAGGACCAAAACCATTTTCTGTTGTTTTGGGAAATTGAAATCTGTAGTTGGTAAGAAGTACCACTAATTTCCAAACATGTGATTCCCTTCTTAAAATTTTTAGTTCTTAACCTTGTTCCCCTCCCCCTTTCTTTCAAAAACTGAATTTCTCTTTGTTCTTTTTCCTGTTAAGATAACCTATCTTCTCCTCTGGTTCACTGACCTGTCATTACTACATAGAGTATTTGCATTGTTTTATTTCCCTTTCCTGATGATACTGATGCTGATAACTTTTGCATTTAAGTTTTGTGGTGGGCTTGGAATTTCATTTCTCTCTCTCTGTCACTTTCCATGGAGAAGGGGAAGATTTCCATCTCCTGTCCCTCATGCAACCATATGCAAATGTTCCTGTAGCCCTGCGGTTATACCAACAGCCTTTTCCCAGCATCGTGTGTCCACAGTTGTGCCAGTCTAGACATGCTATGTTGTGCCCTGTGACCTATCTGCTTGGTATTTCTATTGCTTTCACTGTTTTAGGTATTGTGGAAGGATATAAAACCAAACAGAAACAAAGGAGTATAACAATGTATTGAGGGTAGAGAAGGCTTCTGTTAGGGGGTTATTTTTTTTATTTAGATGATTTCTTCTAGCACTGAGGGTTCCCATGTAACAGCAGTGCTAAGTCATTGAAGTTTTTCATCTAAGGGTTAGTTTTGTCCATTAGTCTCTTTTTCAAGCCCCCTTTATTATCAATCTCCCTTTCAGTCTGTCTCTTCCCTAGTCAAAAGGTTGAGCTAAACTGGAAGTGAAGAAATGGAGACTCTGCCTCCAGGGGAAGAGATTTATCTCCACCCATACAGCATATATCTAATAGGTAGGGTAAGGTGGGGCTCTCTATATAGCAGTTATTTCGGTGTTCTGGTCATCCCTGCTTCTATTTTCAGATTCTTAAGGCATCACTGTTAGAAGCATATGGAGGGTTCAAGACAAAATCTGCTTGAACAAGATCATTAGATACCTTCGGATTAACCTGAAAAGAGTTCAAGATTGACAATAGCATCATACAGGGAAAGATGGGGACTATCACGGAAAGAGACAGGCTTGATCCAAGATAATATACCTGTAATTAAATTAGTACCACTGGAATTATGAGAAACATTCTCAACTGTTAGCAGATTGCATGGATAATCTTCTCTGTCTCCTTCTTTGCCCTTACTCTGTCTTCCTTGCAGAGGATTGTGAGTATTGGCATAATTCAAGCCATTCTGGCACTCAAAGTAGGTCTTGTTTCTGACATACTCCCATCCCAGGACAACTGAGGTAAGTGATAGAGAAACCTAGGGCTATATTTACCTCTGGGAAAAAGATCTGAGGCAAAACACCGAAGTCGGTTCTTGACAGGCTTTCCATTTGACCAGAACTTTCCCCACAAAATTCACAATCCCCATGAGTATAGAAGTACTTATTCCTCCTCGTCAGGTGGCCCTTTGTATGAATAGAGCTTGGACAGTGAGGATAATAGGATATAAAGAAGTGGGGAAACCTATGCTATCCAGAATCTGGAGCTTGAGTCTGTTCTGGACCTGTCAGGAAAATACTTCACCATGAATGGCCCTAAGCTTCCTAAGCAGCAACCACAGATGTATGAGGTCTTCAGTAAAGCTGCACTGGGCACTTCATGGTGCTCTCTGACCTAGACTAAGCCCTATCCAGATTGGCAATCTTTTCCCTATGGAAAACAAATTACAAGTTGTCAAACTTTTATAGTTATGCAAGGTGAGCTAGCAGAAGACCAGGGCTCGGGACTGGCTATCACTGCTCAGCACATGACAGAGCTACTTAAGCCCTTATGGCAAGGATTCTGGCATCTAGCACCTAGACTACAATGTTATCCCTTGGCAAACTGAAAGATGTTTCACTTCCTATGCAGGCCTCTCTTAGGGTACTTTCTTTTCCTACTTTCTACCCATCCTCACTAGACTTGGCCTTGGCAACTTTCTGCAGGGATTAGGGGCACACCACAAGGGGTTGCTTTGAAATGTTGCTGGATCTATAGTATATTTTGGCCAGACCCTGTCATTCTCTTCCCCTTTCTGAGTCTAACATTCAAGGCTACAGGATCAGGGGTATCGCCTATTACCATCCTGTTTCTCCATGCAATCCACTGACCTTACGATGTGTAGTCATTTTTGAAGGCATTCCCAATTCAGCTCTCCTTTGATTGAAATGACTTACTCCACCCCCACACCTATGGCTCAAAATACATCAGTGGCCAGTAGCCCAAAGGGAAACGCTTAAATTACCTGGACTCAGTATCTAAACCTGTTGTGTCCCCAAAACCATGTTATTCCCCCCAAATTCTATAATTCTGTTTCTGCATGGCCCTGTACTCCCTTTTCCTCAACACAATGAGGCCTGAATTATCTTTCCAAAAGGGTTTTGCCAGTTTGTTTTTATGAATTCTACTGTAGGGAGGTCCTAATACAGAAATACAATTTTTCTTTTCTTCTCTCATCCTCTTTCTATGTGTATATCTTTAATTGGTCTATTAAGGACAGCAACAAGAGAGTTCTAACAATTCTAGTATGAAGCCAAATAGTGATATTTTAGTGCTTTGGGGGTGGGGCGGGCTGGGTGAATAGATGGGCAACAGTGATTTTGACTACCCCTGCTGCTCTGCATTTGCCAGTTTATTCTTTTGTTTCTATTATCTGACTGTTTGACCCTGTCAAACAAGTGTCAAAATTGTGTATTTGGAAATGTTTAATAACAACAAAAAGATGTTGTAATGACATAAAGCCTTATGAAAATATTTATGGAGTTCAATAAAAGAAATAAAAAGACTTTCAGGCACAGTTGTGCCATTTGTGTGTGTGTGTGCATGTGTGTGTGTGTGTAGAGAGAGAGAGAGATGGAGAGATGGAGAGAGAGAGAAAGAGAGAGTGACCAATTGCAAAATAAAGACAATTTGTGTGGTGTAAGAGTACTTGCTTCAACTATCTTGGGTCACTTATTTTGATATTTCATTTCCCAAGCATTACATGGACTATTGGGAAACATTTCTATCATTTCTGGAAGAGCAGAAGACAAGGACAGAGTTTGAACCTGTAGTCACGAGCACTTAAAATGTTTTTATAGATAGAATATCTTTCCTTTTACCTGGAATTTTGCCAAAACCTAATTGCCCATTTCTAATATTTTCCTTGTATCTGCAGTTCTAATATCCATCCTGGGTATTTGTGATAATTTCAACATTGCATTTTTAATGTAGTCAAGGCTGTAACACTTAGGAATCTTCCACTCCAGGTTCCTTCTTAACACTGGTGACCAAGATTTTGCCATTCTTTTTATATCTTACCAATTCCCAGCTTCCCTGGATTCCAGGATTAAATTGTAATTACTTCTTTCTGAGTAAGTGGCAATATCTGATTTCAGTCTTCCTAGACTATTTTCTAGGAGCTTTAGAAATGGGAAAAAATGACTGAGTTTATAAACTGGATTTGACAGTGGAAGACAGAGGCTAAAAGAGACTTGCTAGGACAACCTACCTTCTGAGGCTTGCTCACCTATCTTCTACCTCCACCGCTGCTGAAACTGATTTAAGAGTTCTTTTGTCTTAGGTTTTCAGTGGCACAAGGGAAGGCAAGAATGTGGAATGAACTGATACCAACAGCATATGAATGTTATTCTGTGCAGTCGTTAGTAGACCCATCTCTTGGATTTTCTAAACACAGCTTCCAAAACAAGCAAAACCAACTGCAGTTCCAGGTCGTTTTTGTCTCCAGAACCAAGTACAAGTGGGCAGAGAACTAAGGTCTCCAGTGTGGACTTTGCTTCTCATCACTCACTGCTTCAGTTACTTAAGCCTCCACTTTGCTTCTTAGCCCACTGGCATTTGAACCATTAGAGATTTCTTTATTCACCTATTTCTCCTGGTTTCCAGAGACATCTTCTTGACGTGGCTATGGTACTTTTGAAATAGATCTTACTTGGCCCTGATTTTCCTTGCAAATCCCAAGACTACAAAATGAGAGTATCCTGTATTGTGCCACTTGAAGCTTTAGCAATTGCAGAATAATATTTCTGCCTAGCTGAATTTATAACACAATTGATGACTTAAGAAGCAAACTCTTCTGCTTGTATATCATATTTATCTCTTAGTTGTGGCCTTCTCCAGTAGACTATTAGTGTCGTATAGATAATGGTGTCTCATCTAGTTATGAGGAATCAGGAAGAGGAATTGGCATAGAGTGGTCCTTGTAGGCTTCAGATGCTACTGTCACTTTTACTCGAGGTCTCCAACAATATGTCATTTCAGGTAAGTTCCTGTGCCAGGCTGCATATCTCTCTACAATAGCTATGGCTCTCTCCAGTCCTGTCAGAAAGTTGCAAAGTTGCATTCAATCCACATATCCCAAGTAGGCATTCTGCGACAGAGGTTGGCATGCTGCAATAAGGATATTAAAATGATGTTTAAGTGACTGAAATATCTTTGTCCCACAAATCAGCCCGGGCTTAATGTATAAGGATGGACTGGGACTGTGGTGAATGAGATCCTTAGGTATTCATAGAACAAAGTAATTAGCCATAAAGAAAAATCTGTTCGTCCGTCAGGACCAGTTTGGTTACAGAATAGTAATTGATAATCACAAATTTATCAGTGGCATACAGGAGTTTATTTCTTGTTCATGAAAATTCTGCCATGTGTTCAGACAGCTTCCCAGGGCAACTATGAACTATTTCTACTTTATTATATTTCCATTTCAACACATGCTTTTATAACTTCCACAGCAAGAGTTATCACAAGAGTTTCTCAGCTCAATAATAAATTTTGTATTTTGGCTTTCCAGTCATAGGGCAAAGGGACAAAAATGATCACATGACTCATACAACTTCAAGGCAGCAAAGACAAGAGAACTAGATATTAATAGTCATGAGAAGTATGTACCAAGTGTCATCTATATCTCTGACCTTCCTCTAACCCACAGGCATCTGCAAACTCAGAAGTCTATTTCCAATTACCATAGCCCAGGATCCCTCTTTGTTTGTGAGTCACCTTTGACCAGTAGGTCATTTCTTCTCTTTCCCATTCTCCATCGCCCCCTTCCTGTGGTCATCTCCACACCCACAGACTTAGGTCCAGATTGTTGGTCTTCAAACCTGCTTTGTTCAAGAGCTGACTCCATATTTTCCTCTGCTTGCTGCCATGTCTGAACCCACAAACCTAGCTTCAGACCTGTGATTTAGGAGCCTTATTTGCCTGATCCAACTAAACAGTGTTCATCCACTAGCTTCATAAGGCATAGCTCAGGTCATGCAGTTCCCACACTAGCTCAGTCTAAGGAAAGACAGATTAGCACATCAAACACACACCAAAGGAAGGAGTCCACATACCCAGGTCAAATCGCAAAAACAAAAACAATATGAATGGCTAAGAAAGTATGTCTACCATCAAACTTACTAGTCCTATAGAAGTATTATCTAACAAGTAATATATAAATGAGCCCCAGGACACATAATTTTAATAAACAATTACAATCTTTTATCAAAGAAGTCAAGGAATTGAAAAGTAAAATCAAACATTCACAGAATTCTTAGAGAATAACAATAAACATTTATGTGATGACCAAGAAAATACAAATATGCAGATGAATGAAATGATGAAGACAATTAGGGATTTGAACTAAATTCAATGAAAATAGACACATTGATGAAAACAAAAGCTGAAATGAAAATTAAATTGGAAAACCTCTAAGCCAGAAGACAGCCTCATACCCAGGAGTATATTGGCGACACAAATTTTACTTTGATGAGTCAATTAAAATCAAAATGAATTCACAAAGTTGGACATGAGAAGAGTTAGGAGAAGGAGTAGGGGTTAAATAGCATGAAAATTCACTATATATATGTACTAAATTGTCAAAGAATAAGCAAAAATACTGTTTTTAAAAGGCTTAAATGTGTGTGGGATTTTACTGCAGCTTCATGCATGACCCCTATATCACACTGTGAGTTACAATATAGTACAATTGAGGCTCATTTCCGTAGTGTAGTGGTTATCACGTTCGCCTCACCATATAGTACAATTGAAAGAAGAATCATGCATATCTGCTACTCTTCCGTAAGTAAATAAGATGTGTCTTCTTATTGGGCAGCAGATCAGTACCCATCCCGAGTATACACACGGACTTTGGACTCCCATCCAACAATGTGAGGTGCACTCTCACCCTGAACTCTTGGGGAAGGGTCTAGGCCCTGCCCTATATGAAATGACAGACTATGGACACCCCCATGGAGGGCCTCACCCTCCCTGGGGAAATGAGGGGATAATGGGGGGGTTGGGGGGAGGGCACGGGAGGAGGGGAGGGAAAGGGAGAGGAACCTGGAACTGACTTGTGAAGCAACCTTGTTTCTTATCTAAATTTAAACTGAAAAATAAATAAATGAATAAATAAAAACTTCATTTTGAATGACACAGGGTTTTATGCCACTTTATAGGTAAACACTATTGAGGTAAAGGTCAAAAGATTATTAGGAAATCAAAACTTAATTTTCAGCATAGCACCTAGGGTATCCTTCCATAATGAGTCTGTGAGTGTAATACACACCTGTGTTAAGTGCAACGTATTCTGGGCACCCAGCATGTGAATGTTTAGAAAGGAGGAGTGCCCACATGTCCCCGCATTGAAAAATGTCTTTCTTTGCTCCACTGAATTGATGCTAGAACATCAATTTAAGGTTTTTTTAGTCTAGAATTAAAGAAATGTAATTGATGGCTTCACCAATTCCACAAATCATTAAAGTGTATTGTCTGAAAGTCATTGGGAACAGCTCCTGTACCCATGCCTGTGCTGACCGAAGTGTCCTGCTCCAAACTCAGGCTCCCCTTCCATCTCCAGCCCTACACATGGGAGTTTCCTGGTTATCTTGTGCTTTCCCTAGCATCTTCATCCTAAGTCTACAAGGTTTGTTATCTTTCTTTGTCTACATAGTCATTCTTTTTCCCTGCCTCACCATCTTCTCACGCTAAGACTTTAGAAGCAAACTGCCTTGGTCCCAATCCTAGTCCCATCACACATTTCTTAGTTATAGAACTTTAGATGGCATACCTAATCCAAGTCTCAATTTCCTCATCTGCCCTATATGAATAAGAACTATCATGGAAAGCACTTCTACAAGAATAGTCACAGGAACTTTATTCCTGTTTGTTCTAAGGTGAAAACAGATTAATGTCTCTTAACTAGTGAATAAATAAATAAAGGTGAACTGATACAACATGCTAATTGTCTTAGTAGGGGTTTCTATTACTGTGAAGAGATCATGAACAAAGCAACTCTTAAAAAGGAAAACACTTAATTGGGTGGTTTACAGTTCAGAGGTTCAGTCCATTATCACCACATGGCAGTGTGCAGGCAGACATGGTGCTAGAAAAGGACCTGAGAGTTTTGTTTTGTTGTTGTTTTTTTGCCTGGTTTTTCGAGACAAAGTTTCTCTGTGACTTTGGAGGCTGTCCTGAGAACTCTTGTAGACTAGGCTGGTCTTGAACTCACAGAGATCCACCTGCCTCTGTCTCCCCAGTGCTGGGATTAAAGGCATACGCAGCAAGAGCTGAGACTTTACATCTTAAACAGGCACCACAAAATGGTCTGTCTCACGAAAGTAGCTTGAGGTTAGGAGACATCAAAGCCCACCCCCTCGGTGACACACATCCTCTAACAAAAGCCTCCCTACTCTAAAGTCACACCTCCTAATAGAGCCACACCCTTTGAGGTCCCTAACTATCTCATTCCAGTACTTAGCCACCAAAGGCTTGAAACTATATCCTAATGCTAAAATTCATTCAG